ATTTACTAGCTGTGTGACCTTGGGCAAGTTACTTCACTTTTCTGAGCCTGTTTCCCAGTCTGAAAATGTAGAAAATAGCACTCTTGCAGAGTTGTCTTGAGAATTATGTGTAAGTAATGCATAAAAGTTGCTGCATTCTAGTAGTTTGATAAATATTCGTTCCTTTTTCCCTTAATAGGGTTCAAATTAAACATACCTTTCAGGTAAAGGTCATTATATTGTCACAGCTTACTATTTACTAGCTGTGTGACCTTGGGCAAGTTACTTCACTTTTCTGAGCCTGTTTCCCAGTCTGAAAATGTAGAAAATAGCACTCTTGCAGAGTTGTCTTGAGAATTATGTGTAAGTAATGCATAAAAGTTGCTGCATTCTAGTAGTTTGATAAATATTCGTTCCTTTTTCCCTTAATAGGGTTCAAATTAAACATACCTTTCAGGTAAAGGTCATTATATTGTCAGTGCCTTGGCATCAGCAGCAGAACCTCTTTATTCTGCAGGGAAGAAGGAAGAAAGAATATTTTTTACCCTTCCAGAATGTAACTGATGAAGTCAGTGCAATAATTCCCTGAGAACAAAAGCCTAACAGAGTTATACCCTATTCCACTACTCAGAGATGCACAATGGCATCCCACAGTTGCCATCAGCCATAGGGCAGTTGTGACACAGTTGTCTGCCTGTATATGAACTTGGTCATAGCTGTTAATATTATCACCATGTTAGTTATGTGCATTATTGGTTCTGCACATGTTGTGTCTAATTGCCATTTAAAATGTCTTCAAAATCGTGCTCAGAATTGGCATTGAAATGTCACTGAGAATGCTGAAAGGCACCTAGAACACAGAAGTATGGTATTCGTTTGCTGTTAAACAGATATTTGCATTGCTGTGTTCTTGAGAAGCAACAAACAAGTTCTTTGTGGGGGACCAATAAGGGATGGTAGCTTCTAGATGAACTTTGATTATGTCTTGTTACTGAGATACCCTTGGAAAAACATGCACATTGATGACTGAATCACAAAATGATTCAGAGTGGTCCAACTCTTAATGTGAAAGAGTGTTTTAGGAATAGGTTAAACAAATGTATTTCGCTGTGTTTTCCTTTTAAGGTATGCTCAAGAGTGATAAGTGGTTTTTAAATTTTGTCAATCTAAGTGGTGGGAAAGTAACAAATTATAGTTTACTTGTGGTCTTTGCATTCTTGGTGGTACATAAGACCAAGAGGGAAGGTTGCCTTCCAAAGAAAGTGTTAAGCAACCTACTGAACTTAGTAAATAGAATGGTAACAAGAGTGTACTTGGTGTCAGCAACCCACGTGCCAGATGATGCATATCAAGCACTTCACACTCATAATGGAGTCCCGACTGTCCTCACCAGGGCTTTTCCAGTTATCTTTCAGAACCAGGGCAGGAACAAGAAACCATTCTTTGGGTGCTAAGAGAATGGGTCCAGTAGAACCAGCCATGTCAGGGCCTCAGAGACAACCCAACTGGAGATGATAAGTTACCAAGCTGACCATGTGCTGCTCCCATGCCAGGTGCTTCGTGGGTTATCTCTAACCCTGCAACAGTCCTGAAACAGTCCTGAAAGATTTCCAGTGGGGCAGGTCCTGGCCTTCTAGAAAGCGCTTTGCCAAAAAAATAACAAAAGGTGTGTGTGTGTGTACACCAAATAGCCCTGACTTGATTTAGTAATTCCATGATTGGAAATTCATGCACGTGAAGTTGTTCGTTTTCACCACTGTGTGACTTAAAACGGAAAGTTGTGAGTGACTTAATACCTAACTCTGGAAACAGGGTACAGTGAATTAAGGCACATCCATACATGGTGGAATATTACACAGTCTTTAATCACAAAGATTGTAGTCTAATACGGAAGATGTTAATGTGGCCAATGAGAAAACAATAAAATAAATTTCAAAGATATAAATATGTTTGTTAATGTGGGCCAGTATTGGATGAGAAAAATGTGAAAATAAAAGTAGCCTTAAGGTGATGTGATCCCCCTCCCGCAAATTTCTCTTTACAATAAAAGCCAAAGAAAAGAGGTTTCCAAAAAAAAAAAAAAAAAAAAACAAGTCAGTAACTGCAATAACTATTGAGGTTTACTGAGAATAGAAATTTTCAGAGCACACCTAGAATTACCCAGTTATATATTTGCTACATTGAGATGTTAAGGAGACCCTGGGTTTCCTCCCCTGCCGCTATTTTCCTCTCCCCACTTGGAATTTGTAATTAGTATCTTTGCACAGCAGAAATGCAGTCATTTCAGGGAAGTATTTGAGGCTTTGTAAGCAAATGATGATAATGTAAAAGGTATTTGTCTAAATTTGCATTTATACAAAACATGGAGCTGCTGTGATTTCAGAGTAAATGTGCTTTCAATATTTTCTAAATACAGAGCTGTTGCAGCCCTAACAATACTTGGCTAAGAAATTGCACTTCTATGATAGGCCATAATTACTCTTTGGGAAATTATTGGGCTTAAAAAAAATGCCTACCTAATGATACCTAAAGGGTGAGTCCTGCTTTGTCCCATTTTGCATCTGTAGTCACTTCTGCATGACTCCTTCTCCTCTCTTTCAGAGTATCATTGATTTTTATTGTAGGACAAAAGGGCATGCATGGCATTAAAACCTACATATTTAAAATTCTAGAAAACATTTCTTTTTCAGGTAAGAGGCTTTAGTTACACAGGGACTTTCACAGTATTTATTTTCACCTTTTTCTCACAGTTGTTTAAATGGTCTTTTTGTATACATGAACTCATTTGCCGGAATTTTGGTTCTGAAACTCTAATCAAAATTCAGCGTCATTTGTCAATTGCATGATTAAATGTAGGAGCTGGAAAAGTTGATAAGATTTGGTTAAATATTATGGATTGGAGTTTTTCTCCAATGTGTTAGCCTGTGCTTCTGGACAAATTAATAAGTGGCCATTTTTCTGGAATTCTGCACCCTTCCTGCTTCCTTTCATTACATTAGGCAAGATTCCACTAGATGAGACATTTGCAGTCTTAAGACTTCCTGCCAGGGTTCAGACTTTGTATTTTTGACATTGAAGCTGTCGTGTTCCTGAAGCTACTTAATTAGAAACACATTCATTTCAGTGTACACTGGAAAAAGCTTGGACAGCAGAGCCCGGCACACTGGGAAGTTTGAGCATTTGTGTAGCTGGCAGCTAAACTAATGGTTTACAGTTTAAGCGAAAAAAATAACATAGGGCATTTCCTTGCCCCTAGAAGCGAAGAGAAGCTGAATGTGCACAGCAGATACCTTTTTTAAAAAGAGAGAGGAAGAAGAAGAAAGCAAAGACAACTCCACTTTCTCTGCAGTTGTGTTTATAATTCTTTCTTTGGCTATTTTCAAATACAAAAGTCTTCTAGAAGAATAGTTCCCAAACCGTGCTACTAATATTCAAGTCTGTTTTACAGGCTCCCAAGATACATTACTGCTGAGATCTGTAGTAAGGAGGACATTTTATATTCTGGAGAAAGATTTTTGCTTGAAGAATTTTATTTGTTGAATGGTAATGAGGGAATTATGCCCTCTCTTATTTTTAAATGTTTGAGCAATTTAAAAATGCACATCTGATGTTTGAAAACCTTCATTCAGTATCCATTGCTTTCAGGATAAAGCCTCAACTCCTTAGCATTCGAGAGAAAGCACACCTCTGCTTTCTCATTTTTTATCATTCTGATTTCCACAACCCTGTTCCCAAGAAAAGCCATCCTTGTAGATCCACTTCTACTCCCCTGGCTGCCCCACAGGAAAGGTACCTGGTCACCTTGATCAGAGCCAGGTATCTTTCCTCTAGGCTCACAAAATACTCTTGCAGCTTTCATAGGATGTGTCACTTACTGGAAAGACATGTGGAAAGGGTGCCATTTTCTCTCTGCCTCCTACTACTTGCCCTCCCTCCCCTACCATACCCAAGAAACACATTCGTGGGAGGTGGGCCCAGGAATTTTAGGTTCAGTATTATGAAGTCAGTGTGGCACAGAAGAAGAAACTTCGGAGTCATCCCAGGTTTGCTGCTTTCTTTGTTTTGTGGCGTTAGAGAAGTGACTTAAGCTCTCTGGGACTATTCTCTCCCCTGTAAAATGAGGATAACGCCTACCTTGTGCCATTGTTGTGTGGATTAGGAAAGGTGAATTTGAAGTTCCTCGTGTGATACTTAACCCATTTATCATTGGTAAGTGGCATCATAAATGATACTGTATGCAAGTGCATGTACACATTCACATTTGCGCGCGCACACACGCACGCTCCCGAAACCAACGGAAATCAGTCCATAATGCCCAGGCTTTAAGAGCTTTGGAGTCGGGTTCTCCACTCCTGCTCAGTTACTACTCAAGGAACCATTGCCCTCCCTTTGAATGAAGCAGTTGAAAAGGGCTTTGTGAATCATGGTGTCACTGGATGGCATGTGTGCAATTGGTGGGGGAAGGCTTGCTCGAAGTTCCTCAGGACTCAGGCCAGTCAGAACAGAGAATTAAATCACATCTCTGGCTGGCCGAAGGAAACAGCCAATAACAAAAATCATTCTCCACTGAAACACATCATGCCTTCCATTCAACCTTGGTAACTGTATTTCTGTTGTAATTGTGGCAATAACAGTTTCCATTTGTGCCAGGAACTCTACTAATCTCTTGACATATATTCTCCTCTCTCATTCTGATCACAAGCTGTCAGTTTGATTCAAGTATCCCATTTTAAAGATAAGGCAACTGAGGCTAGTCACATAGCTGCTACTTAGGGACTAACACCATGGTCGGTGCTTGTCCCACCACCCATGCTGCTTCAAATGCTGCCCACATTTTGAAATCCTTCTGAAGTTTTTAGGCTTGGGAACAAAATGTCACATTAGGATTTTTGTTGTGAAAGGAAATGTAACTGTGCATACGTTTATTAAAACAGTTTTTCTCCAAATAATGAACCATCTGTAATTTTCTCTTGGAAGCAACAGACATTAAAGCAGCTGTGTGTCTCTGTTTCTCTTCACAGTGCTCCCATGCCCTACCTCATAGGAATCCATTTAAGTTTAATGGAGGTAAGTTGGCGCCTTTCCTCCCCAGATCTCTCTACTTGTGGCTTTGTTTTGATATGTGGCGGCGGAAAAGACAGTCTCTGGATTCACAGCTCTGCACATGGGAGCATGTCGAAGCAACACCTCTCCCAGGTGCACAGAGCTGAGCTTCAGTGGAGACCCTTTCCACTGGGCTCTGGCTCCCAGTGTTTTTCCACTTTTGCTTGGAGATTGTCAATTTTCATGGGTGAGGGAGTGAGGTACATAGAGGCAGGAGGAAGGGGTTCTTCAAGGGTTTGAACGAGGGAAGGGAATTTGCTTACTTTTCCAAATGATGTTTATTCTAAATTACTATAACAATATTACAATTTTCCTTATAGACAATGTGGTATAAAGAAGTATAAAGAAGAAAGTTAAAATTATCCACAGTACCGTTATTCCAGATTCAACTACTGTTAGCATTAAACTATTCTTCCTCCTAGTCTATAGTCTATAGCCTATGAATATATATTTTGTATAAATGTGCATAACTGATGTGTGTATATATATGTATATATAATTTCATGTCTGTTTCATTTAACATTATGGCATGGGGATTTCTACATGTTTTTAATCTACTCTCAGTAATAATAATTTTTAGTTTGTTGCCTGTCATTCCACTTTTTTGATATACCACAACTTAACCATTTTCCTATTATTGTTGGACACTTAGGTTGTTTATCATTTTTCACTATTATAAATAGCATTTCAGTGAACATCTTTATACATAAGGCTTTATCTGCATTTTGACTTATTTCCTTAGCACAGAACCCCCAAAGTAGAAATGCTTGGTCAAAGCTATGAATCTGGTGCCAGATTGCTTTTTGTATGGCTGTACCAATTAGATAGCAGTTCTTTTAAAGGACTTTTCTGTGCTTTTGTAAGTGCCATTGGTTCGTAGACATGAACCTTAAGCTTTTCCCTTCTCAAGAGAGAGCTTAAATTTGTACTAGAGCAAAATGAGGTGGGAGGGGGGGTTGCCTATTTTGCACAGGAGATACGCTCTCAGAGGGAAAATCTAGAGCCATGTCCGTCTGTGATGATGCTTTGCATGTCTTATAGGAAGTGCTACTTCTCTTCTTCTGTTCCCTTCATTTCACGTCGACGAGGACCACCTGCTTCTTCACACTGTTGCACACTGTGCTATTGTGCTTACGAAAATGAAACAAGTTGGTTATCGAAAAACCTGTTTGTTTGACATTGAGAATCTTGATCAAAATAGACCACAGAAATCTGCTCAAATTTCTAATTTGACAGGACGGCCATGTGGCTCCTACATTCTGTTAACAGTTCCTCCTTGTCATCACCCAGCCCTGAGCACATACAGTACACAGTTTATGGACTATCTTGGATGGTGTATTTAGATCAGATTGAAGAGATTTCTTCTGTGTTTTACCTTTGTTTGTGAAGTTTAGGGGTGTATTCAAAGCTCCTATGTGAAAAATTAAAAGTGAATACTTTCTAATCAACCTTTCATGCCAGCTGTTGCAGAGTTTGAAACATGAATCTAAAGGCCATTTGGTCTTATCAGAGTCCACAGCTCTTCCCTGCCCCTCCTCCTGCCTTCCAGACTGTTCCAGCACAGGCTCTTTCAGACTCCTTTTCATGTCCCTTTACCTTTAGTATTGTCCACCTTTCTAGTAGTCTTAGCTTGCTTTTCTTCACCACATACCCTCTAGTCAACTCACATAAGGCTTTTTGCTTCAGTTACCAAGGGTAGTGTCAGTGACTCTTGGCTGTGATTCTAATACTGGCATCCCTTTCTGTGAACTTCACGTGCAAAGTTTCAAGTGCCAGTTGACTGTCACTTAATGTGCTACAGATGTTTCAAACTCAGACTCCCCCAAACGATGCGTTATCTACACACACACACACACACACACACACACACACACACACACACACACGGCCTGCCGCTGTTCCAGATCCCTATGAGTGGCACCACTGCCTGCAAAGCCACCAAAGCGGGACACACTGAGCATGGCTGAGTACTCTTCTTCCTCATTCTTTCTGAGTAGTCACTGTGCCTCTGACAGTTCTCCCACCCTGTTCCTTCCTCACTGCCTTCATTGACCTTTTTTTCTTTGCTCTCTTGGATTCTTGTGAAGCCTTATTCATTTATTTGATAAGCAAAATGAAGGCCTCCGTGTTCCAAATATTTGCTAGGCTGTGGAGGGAGGAAGACGGAGGTGAAATTCAGGGCATAGTCCTGACATTTGGTGGAGTACCTTCTGCCTGGCGCTGTACCTCTGCATCCTGCCTCTCTCTGCTCTCCCCACGTTCTACTCAGTCTCCATCGCTGTCATGCCTTGTGTCCTCTTACTGTCCTTTGGTAGCCAGTGCTCTCAGTGATTCCCAAACACACTCACATGCCCCCCTTTCCCCTACCTGCCCTGACTAAGCCTGTCCTTCTCCAGCTCTTCCCAGAAGTCCCTGGTTGTCCTCTTTTGCTTCCTGTACCTCTTGCTCTGGATGATAGCCATCTGCTTCTGTGTCTCCTCTCTCATTCCTAGGAGTGTGAGTTCTTTGAGAACAAAGACTGTGCTTCATTCATGTGGTGTCCTCAGTACCTAGCAGGACGCTGAGCAGGTGCTTTCTGAAAAGAAGGATTGAGTGCATGCTTGGAAAACTGGAATTCCAAACACATTTCGAGCCTCCAGTAGGCATCACTGTTTCCAGGGAACCTAGCACTACAATTTTACTTAAAGATAGAGTAAATTTTTTTTACTTTTTATATGGTTGTAAGGAATTTTTGAAAAGGCCTTTGGTAGTAAAACATGCAGTGCAAAATATATGTCAATTTTGAAGCTAACACTTGACAGTTTTGTGTTTAGGTGAATGGGTGCAAGTCTACTCACCTCAGTCTTTGAAGGGTTTTAAGTGAGAAGGTTCAGAAAGTGCCAGGCAAGGTAAATCTTAGACCTGTTTGAAGTTGGGAAGGGGTTTGCCATGCTGGATTCCTCTGTGGTCAGAACTAAAAGAAAAACAGAAATAGTCATCGCCCTGTGCTTGAGGCCAGCTAAGCCACTTTCCAGACAAAGTCACATGGCCTGGGTGTGTTGGGCAGCCATGAACTACCCAATTATGGAGTTTAGTCTTTCTGTCTCCTCAAGTGGATTTCAGTTCAGACTCCCAAGTGCTCTAGTCATCCTTTTGATTGGGTTTATCTGGTTCTATTATACCCTTCAAGGGAGAGAAATGCTTTCCTGTGAGGTTTCTTCTGGGAACTATGGGCTGTAATACTCAGGGAGGAGTTCGTACCTGGGGCCAAAGGAAAGCTCTTTCAGGAAGGAGCTCGGGAAGGCCCATCTCCTCTCGCATACTAGTTTTCTTACTGGCAATTCAGCAAAAGGCTTATTTTTGACTGTCTTGTTATTTTTTCTTGAAAGCTATAGGCACCTTATTATGCCTTTGCATATGTGCCAGAATTTTTTAAACTTCAAATGAATGTGGCAGATGTTCATAAAAGTTTAGAAAAAGCTACCATAGGAAGACTTTTTAACCATTTTTATGACACTCAAATTTGTTGCACAAAACGAAATATAAATTATAACCTAGTGTTCTCATTTGTAAAAAGGTTATTTTGGGGAAAGACCTCATTCTAGTCTTCCTGCTCTCCCAGGGTGCCCTTGCTGTGTGTTAGATGATAACCTCGTCCCCTTAAAAAGTCTGCCTGCCTTCCTCAGTGACAAGTTTATAGTTGATCATGATTCTTACCCCTCCTTCTGCCTTTTTATATTCTTTCTCTCATTTAAGCAAACATTAATTTGAGGCTAATGGTAAGTTAGCAGGATAGCCAAGGCTATTGGCATAGACCTAGTTCCTTCTTGGAGAGAATGATCTTGTTAGCTGGCAGCTAGAAAGTACCGAAATGTGGCCAGATTACACATTGGCTGTTTCCTTTCATTCTCTCAACCTCAGTTCAGGAGACATTTCTGCCACCCCTCTTCTGTGCCATGTCTGGTAGCAGGTGCCAGGTCACATCTGGTAGATGGTGCTTCTCCTATTTGTTAAATGAAGACTTTCCTTTCCAAGCCTCACAAGCAATGCTTTGTGTACAGGCCTCAGAGCAACATGAGGGATGGATGCAGGATATCATATGTATGTATCATTCCTGTTGGCAGAATGGTCAAGAAGGAGGAAGGAAAGTCGATAGCCATGGCACAGTTCCATATAGAGGCTCGTGTTAGCCTGTAGATTATGATCCACCTATACACAGAGGCAGTAAAGTGTAGTGGTTAGAATGTAAGCTCTGGATGCTGGCTCCCCTATTTCCTGCTTATGTGATGATCTTGAGCAGGGTAATTGACCTCTTAATCTCTGTTGTCTTACATATGAAATGAGGGCACATAGAACTCAACAGAGATCAACAGCCATTACTATTTTTATTTCCTCAATGGCCTCAAAGCCATTTGCATTAAGTTGATGGCTTTGAATTCATGTTTCAGAGGTTACAAGAGTCATCATCCTCATCACCTAAGGCAAAAGAGTGTCAAAAAAAAAAAAAAAAACTGGTTTGTGCTCACCCTATTTTCTCCTGGTTTGTAGTGCTAGAGACACCATATCAGGTATGGGAGCAGTGCTTTTGTAGAATTTGAAGCTACTGTTAGTCCTCTGCTTGACCACTCCCCTGCTGTAGGAATTTCAGGCATGATACTTGGTTTCTCTGTATCTCTCTTCATCTGTAAAAGTGGCTAGTACCCATCTTTTAGGATTGTGGTAAGGATTAAATAAGTGAGTCCTGTCTGTGTCCAGTGTATCCCAGGGCCTGGCCTGTGGTAGGCATGCAGTCTATATCCCCTTCTGTAGTAATGTTTCGAGAGCCTTCTGAATACCAGGCACTACATCATGTGAAGCGTTCTGTATGAAATGGTGAATGTCACGCAATCCTTGCCTTCACGGGGTTTTGTCTGGAGCAGATGCAGACAAGTGGAAAGTAATTGGAGTGAATTTGGGTTGCCGTGGGTCTGGTGGGCAACCCAAAT